CCTACACGAAAATGTCACTTCACCAAATATCCCATTATTGAAAGTGGGGAGAAAAATCACCCAATCAGTAAATTAGCCCTTTTTTGTTTCATAAACCACTTCAGTTAATGGGTTAAACATTTTTTTTTTTTTTTCATTTTTTTTTTTTTTTTTTTTTTTGGTTTTGGAAAACAAATGTGCATAAATAATGTTCTGCACCATCTGCTTGTGATTAATATTACTGTTTAGAACTGAAAGAATCTAAACAAGAGCCAAAAGGGGTCATTATGCTCCCATTACCAGTGCTTGCTTAATACAAACGATGTCTATGAAGCCTCATTACAGAGGATGAACAAGTCCTCGTTAGGATATATCTGCCCCAGTCCTTTCACCTCTCTGCAAAGAAATGGGACCTCCAAGCTCTTACTTACCAGTAAACACAACTGTCAGAGGTGCAGCTTTTTGAACACCAAACACTGCAGTCATCTTGTTTTGTTGAAAAGCAAACAGATTAACGATGGTGGGAAAGAGATGCAGATTTTTAAAAGCTGACTCTTGACTTTTTCTGTCTTTTAAAAAACCATAAACCTGCCATACGCTGGGTTCAAGGGAGACAAGAGATAAAAAAAGCACAATTTTAGCTGCAGACAGCTCACGGAACATTACTGCTGAAGGGAAGCTGCTGCAGGAATGAAAACATTTTTCTTGCCACAATGACCTCATCAGCCTGCTTTTTGCAGAGGCCAGGACTATTTTATTTAAATAAGTCTAAGTGGTCCATGAGTGTGCATGTATGTGTTTAGCCACACATATATATATGTGTGAGTATATATATATACACACGCACACACGTCCTAGAATTTTTGTTTGTGCATCATTGCACGTGGCACTGACACTGATTATTCCTCACCAACCTAAAAAGCAGCTGGTGGGGAGAGTGAAAAACGCCACTTTGGACATCTTTGGTGAAATCCTCAGCAAACTACAGTTACTGCTGAGAAGATGGGAACACTCATGGTCCACCTTGCACAAGTGCCTGTCCCTACCAACCAGCGCTCCTCAGAGCCAGCAGCTTATGTCAAAACAAAGAGGATTTTATTATCCTTCTATGGGAACATGCTGATGAAAAAGAAGAGATGGTCTGAGCGATGCACAGATCTCCCTTACACAACCAGCAGATAGTCCAGGAAGACCTCCAGATCATCCGCGCTGCTCGACCTCGCACATCACAAACCAGAAAACACCTCCAAAACTCTGACACAAATTCAAAATCTAGTCAGGAACCAACGGGCCCAAACCATGCAATATATACTGGTTCCCAGTACCCAGTCAGGCACACTGAGCTCAGTACAATTAAACACAAGCAGGCGACATTTATTGCGTGCGTTTCTTTCAATAAGGAGGTGTGAAGGGAGGAAAACATTCCAGATAAAATGCACACGGTCTATACTTATTCTTGAACTCAAACAGATTTTGGTTCGTCTTTATACAAACTTTGACTTTGTACATGATTAGATTTGTTTAATTGCTAATTCTGTTTTAAATCTAAGTTAATTTCTCATTACCCTTCCATTCCTACTTCTTATCCTCTGGGGAAAAGAGCACACTTATCATTGGGACATTCTCACATCTTCCAAAGAAGTGGGGTAGGTGTTAATCTTATGTTTATGTTTGATGTGGGTGTGATGACTACGACTACAGCTTCGGGTTTATTAATATGCACGGCTATCACCTCATTAGTTGCAAGGTTTGTTTTGAAGTTAAGCTGTAATATTTGCTGAAATGTCTGATCTGGAATAAAAGACTTGCTTATTGTTGGTTTCCTTTGCTTTAATCCACGCTCTACTCACAAACTCTCGTTTGCTGCACTGCACTGCTGCTTCACCTTCGTTATCACCACGGTGGAAATTCTTGACTTCTTCTTAAAAATGGGCACAGAGTAATCCTGAAAACAGATCCCTTGAGGGAATTCTGCTGGATGCTGGAATGCTAGTTATCCCCTCCGTGGCATTTTGCAGTTCTGCCCTCACCTTGGTCAATCCAGCAACAGACCAAGGCCAGAAAAATCTGAAGTGTGATGAAAAATCTGTTTCTGCACTTTTCTTTAGACCACAGCAAGGACCATACATAAATCATCAAAAACTCAGAGCTGCTCTTCAGTCAAGGCAATGAAACTCATGTAGAAAGGGAGATTCTGTTTTACTGAGAAAGCAAAAATGAGACCCAGGTTCTAAATTTACAGCAGAAGAACAACAAAACGTTACAGTTACAGTATTTATGCCTGAGCACGATGCTCGCTCCAAACCACGTTCAGTAGGTGGCCAGAACTTTTAATGAAAAAATTCAAACTGACAACAAATTCAAACCTGCTTTTTCTTTTTGGGTGCTACAAAAGCACGACAAAGACTGTGTAGCCTACACAGGGCGATACCCAGCCACGGGTGTTCTACCTGCTTTTCCTTTTACACTTCTCCCGACAATCGCTGTGGCAGCTCTGGCATCCCGACTGCTCAAACACTTGCTGAGAGCAGATAAATCCCTGCACCTAGCAACGTGCAGGCTAGTAGGTGAAATGTTTAAGCCTTCATCAGAAATGAAGCCTCCTCGCTAACGTGTGCCTGCACTGAGCTGGTCATGGGCTCCGAGTTATTTCTGTTCTTTGGATCCAGCGACAGCCTAGGGTCACGTACACCAGCAGCCTCAGCTTCTCACTCACCTTCCAACCAGGGCTAACAAAGACAGGTCCTTACTCCATCTCTACTCACTCTTCTGGCCACAGCCCTCCTTCTCCCACCTAGGAGAGAGCCTGTGCTCTCACATCACAGCCATCTCCCAGGAAGATGCTGTGCGACCGAGGAACCGAAGCCGATGTCCCGTGGCACAGCTGCTCGCTGGGCCATTACACAAAGGCACCATCATCCTCCTCCTCCACTACAAACTCTCCACAAAAGGTCCAGGACACTCTAAGCCTGAGCTCCAAGGAGGGAAGGACCTCAATACATACTGGTAATTAGTGTTTCCCATTAGCTGCTCCATCCCACTGGGTGCACAGATTTCTGGATGGCCCTCCAGATGTGCCCGACTCCTTGCACCCATCACAGCAGGACACCGGGCACCTAACCACGGCTCATCACCCTGCCAGAGCCTCACCCTACTTCTCAGTCACTCCAAAACCGGGCACTCCAGAAGAAACATCTTACCTATTCAGCTGGGAACTTAAAACTTTCTACGTGTGTCTCTACTTCACACTCCTCCCTCAATCCCAAGTGATGTCGGTTACTGCACGCCCCAACTGTGCACGCGGGCTGAGTGAGCAGATGGGTTAAATTAAACGGTATCGTTAGCAACATTAGGAACCAGTTACTTTCAGACACTTTAGAAACATTATAAATGTAATGAGTTTCCTTTCTGTGGTTTTCTTTTTTGGGAGGGGGGTTGGAGGACGTGGTGGTGGTGTAGGGGGAAAGGTTTCTTTGTTCTTCAAACAGTATTTTGCACTGTTTCCAGAACTGACATTGGTTCTGAAAGTTCTAGTATATCTGAGTGAACTTAAGGCAACAGACAAATTTTTAACTAAATCTAACAACATTAAAAAGGAAGAAATAAATGAGTTTAAAAAAAAAAAACATAGATGAGCTTCAGGAAGGAGAATAAACAGCAAAATCCCAAAATGGCTTATATCCAAGCAGGTTTAAAGTTTCTTTAATTATTCATGACCATGTCAGAGGACAGTGGGCCACAATTTTAGAGATCTGAGAATCTAGCAATGCTTGTGGCTATCACGTGAGAGTTCTGAAGCGTGTAAGAAAATTCATTATCTATCTTCTATTTTCAACACTAGTCAAACATCTGATTTTCCTTGCTGACTTTTCCACTGGGCACCTGTTTGTAACCCTAAAGCATCTAAATCTCTATAAATAAGTTTGTTTCTCTCTTCAGTCTTTGCCTTTATAGGCAAGGAGGGAGGGCAATAAAAGTGAACAGCAGTAAAAATATTTTATCAGAAAATCTGCAAGGCTAATGAGTAAGACTCATTCTGCATTACTTCACTGGAATCAAACCAGATGTCAGTATGGCCTACTGCCTCTGTAGAAAGCGTTGTTAAAATAAAATAATATGGTATTTCAACAGAAAACAGAAAACATCTGGTACTCACCTCTGTGTAAAATCTTTAGACTCCACAAATAGGTAAGGCCTTTCACAACCTGAATTTAAAAGAAAAAGCAACAATGTGAATTAAAGATTGCTGGTAAGAACACGAGTTCCAACGAAGAATGGAGCCAGGACCACAAAACGAGGAGACACAGCATCCCTCCCCAAGGGCTGCGGGACGCGGATGAAGCCCTGCTGCAGACTACATCCCAACAGGTTCTTTAAGAACACACAAACAAACTTCTTCCCAGGACCCCTACGTTGAGGTCAGCTGGGCTTATACTGAATCCCTGTAGACATTCCAATGTATTTTTAATTCCTCCATCTTTGCTGCGGTGCTAAAAATCATCAAAGAAAGCGCGTCATGATTTGTCTTCTTGCAACAAAAGCAACTCGGTGAAATTAAAGGCAAGAAAATAGCATCTCTAACTGCTTCTTCACCTTCCCCTTCCCTTTCTTTCCACTTGGTGCATCTGTACTTTTTCCCTCCTTTGCTTCTCACGTGTTTACGTACTCAAAGCAAATGCTGAACGTTTTCTCTGGAACTGTACAAATTCTCTTACTCGTCCTGGACCAAACGCAAGCCTTACAGTATCCCGTAGCCCCAGAAAATACAACTGGGACCCCTAAAAGATAAGAATGGGGGCAGACTTATGGCCTGCTATTCCAGAACTTGCTCCCTCCACTGGCTAAACTGCTCAAACCAAATTTTGAAGCCTGTTACTCCAGTACTACGTCAGAGTGCTTTACGTATGAGATGCATTTTAATGAAAATTTAATGAAAATTCATAGGATGTGCATTGGTAGTATGAACAGAGGTGTATTTCCCAAAACAACCACCCATGACACATCCTTCCACAGAATACGTACATATGGCTCTTTCACATCTGGGAAGATCATCACTGTTGCATCAACTGCCACTCTGCTTATTTTCTATAAGCAACATGATTTTAACAGCCCCAAATTAAGCAAGATGTTCAATCAACTCCCTAAGAGAGCAGCTGGGTATTGCAAGTTATCCTCTCTGCAGGTTTTGTTTTTGTAAAGTAATTAAACCCCGATACTTCTTCCATTTTTAACATTGTAATTTTTTTTCCTAGATTTACTTCTTTTACAAGAACTAACAAGATTCAACAAACACTTATCTACTACTGCTTACTTTTTACCCAAATCATCTCTGCTGTCCCAGTCAGCTTTTTTAACACAGGAAATCTTTTGTACAAAGTTTCCTCTATCAGATGACACTTCATTCCTTCTCCCGAGATGCTCTCTTGGTGCATCTCCAGAACAATAAAACATTTCTGATGTTTGTAAAGCTGTGTGAGTTTTTCAGACTGAAACGAAATCACTTCTGTTGCAGTGATCAAGCAGAAGCACTAAAAATATCATACAGCCTGAAATCAGATAGCACAGTAATTTTCAGCCTTCTTATTGGATAGAAACTAATTTTAAAATTTATTCTGTAACCAAAAACAATGTCAGCGGAATCTGAATCTCTTTTGTAAAGCAAACAACGATTCCACATCCCAAATAAATTGCTCTAGGTGATAATTCCTCAGTGTTAAACTCACACTCCACATCCAGCTATCTCATGGCCTCAGATGGTAATTACCTGTAACAAAAGGCCTTAGTCAAATTCTGCATGCCCAGCTGTGTGGCCTTGCTCACGTTAGCTTTTCAAAAAGCAAAACGGGGGAATTCTACTTACACAGCATTTTGACATCAGGAAAAAAAAAAAAAAAAGTATTGATGCAAAAATAAATAAAGGGAGTGCAACATTTCAGGCTTCCTCCAATGGTGAAAGTGATTTTGAGAATAGTAAGCCGCTTTGATTATTAAACATATATTTAGACTATTGAAGATCTTTAAAATCATTATAAAATTATTTAGATTATTTTAAAGCATGTATTCATAGAAAAAAGGAAACATTTCCTACGGGGGGGAAAAAAAATAAATCAACAGCTGTGAGTTATTAAACATCTTCATTATGGAACATGCGCTGAATAAGCAGTTATAAAAGACACAGTATTAAACAAACTCTCACATTCAGATTCTCTCAGCACCACTGTACAAAGGAATGAAAAGAGTTTTTCCCCCTTTATCCTGGGTTGGAAATAATGGCCCAGGAGCCCCCCAGATGGACTAACCTAGTGTAAAGTACTGTTATTCACTTACCTTACATTTGCTTC